TGCTACTGTCCGCCGTTCTCCTCTCTCTGTACCTTTCACAATGCTTTTATTTTGGTTTTTTCGGGTCCCTGTATCTCGGGACCCGTTGGTCGTACGACTCTAATTTTTTCGCCTGAATTTTTGTTTGAATTAATGTGATTTTTGTGCCAAGTTTGAGCAAAATCGGAAAACGGGAAGAGGTTTGTTTGACACGTCAATCAGACAGACAGACAGACACAGAGCGAGATTAAAAGCGAGATTTTTTGTCAAAAAAAAAGTCTCGCTAATGGCGCTGCATTTAACACTTGAGCACGTAATAAGATCCTTGACATTTATTTGTTGTAAGATACTTATTTTTCTTGAAACGATCTAACGCTGTTGTTGTTGTTGTTGCATGATAGTCATCACATCTAAACCAAATGACGTGTTTTGATAAAACAAAGTGCAGTGTTGATAAAAATGCAAGGTTTATTTTTGCATGAAGTTCAAACTAATCATGACCTTCAACAAAAAAGTGAAACATTAGATAAAAACTGCTATGGCCTTTACTTTTTATTTTTTTTTTCAATTGCCAGTTCTAATGCCAAACAATCAATTGATTTACTTTTTTTCTGCCTGATTGTCTCTACCGAGAACTATTGATGACCAAACTGCTATCACTATTGATTGGTACATTTGCAGTAGTGATTAGACAGAAGTGAATTGGGTTTACTTGAGTCCTCTTGATGACCACATGAATTTTTTTGTTTTGTTCAAACGTTTCTATGCAACAAATGAAGTAGAACAAAATACAACAACGAGAATGAATATTTCAATGATGATGATGATCCTTTTCTAAACAAAAAATTACGTAATTTTTCCATATCTTTTACTAAAACAACTTCAAATGAACAAAATATCATTACCAGCAGTGGGCAATCGTTTCTACGGAGAAAAAGAGGAAGAAAGAGAGAGAGAGAGAGAAGAGGGCAATGAGACAGCAATCTTTGAAGCGAGAGTTTGGAGATCGTGTGATCGCACAGAACCGCTTTGAACTGCTTCCTCTTTTTCTTTTTTGGTTGACTATGTGTTGCTTGTCTGCACTGCCCAACACCATGCTGTCATCGTGTTCAGTACATTCGCCCAATACTTTATGACTTTTCTGATCTCTCTCTCTCTCTCTCTCTCTCTCTCTCTCTCTCTCTCTCTCTCTCTCTCTCTCTCCCTCCCTCTCTCTCTCTCNATTCAAACAGCGCAAAAAGTACAACACTAAATCGCGCAATCAGGGTTGTCTGTTGCAGAAAGTTTTAAAGCACAAAAAGTGCACATTTAAAAAAAAGAAAGTGAGAGTCACTACTTCACTGTTCACTGATCAGTCTTCTTTGGTGTGTTGCAACTGCCAACCAAGCAATGACTGCGATACCTTGAGATGTTGATGATGCTGACGGTGAGGCTGATTGATAAGCTGCTCAAGAGAAAGACTTCAGGCTAACGATAGTAAAGAGCAGCAAAAACTTTGGAATGAAATGGAAAGCTCAAGGCAATGAAAGCCACAAAATCATCACTTTTTGCTGCAGTTGTTACAGAAAAATAACATAAAAAGCAAAGGTACAAACGAACACAAAATATTAATAGCGACATTTAATACATAAAGTTAATTGATTTTGGTATCTTTTTGTACAAGAACTCACGCTGTACTTTGGATAACCTGCTTTAGGAAAGTTTTTACTGAGAACCAAAAAGTAACATTGTTACTGCTTCAGCCGTACACGCATCAACTGCGTGGCTGCAGGTAACGATGTCAGCAATGAATAAGATTAGGGCCAGTGTGATAATCAAAGAAAAAAGGGGTGACGATGCTTAAAGTGAAGAAAAATGATGTTGACCCTTGCAGATTTTATCACACCTGTGCTGGGTGATGCTTGACAGAAGGCATAAAAAGTGTGTTTGTGTGTTTGTTTGTGCGCCTTAATTAAAGCAAAAACACCAACATCCGGCAAAGGCAGCATTGCCATGATAAGGTTGCAATGGAGAATTCCAGTTCAGCACTGGACGTCAAAGCCCTCAATCTACCTTTACTGACTACTTTACCGCCACAACCAGCATTCATTTGTCAGTGTCAGTTTTTTTGTTTTTACTTTTATTATCAAGCGTCGTACAACGAGGAAGGGTAGTTTAAAGGGAGATAAAAGTACGAGTTCAGGTAGTGTGATGCTGGTGAAGATGATGATGCTGATGATGATGGTGATGATTGTCAGCATTGGTTAGGCAAACTGCAACCCTCTAGCCAACCAGTCGACGATCACATGTTTGGCAGGTGAACTGATCACTTTTTCTTCTTTTTTCTCTTCTGCAGCTTGTCTGCATCAAATACGCACATCCACACACAAACACACTTTTGCCCTGCAGTTGTTTTTCTACTGTGCCATTTTACTTTACGGGTGCCGAAAAGAGGTCTTTCCTCACTCACTCGTTGTCTGACTGACTGACTGAGTGACTGATGTGTTTTCATTCTGAGTTACCACTGTACTGTGCAAGTGTACTACGCACAAGAAAAGAAACAAATGTACTAGATTGAAAAGTGTGAAAGAAAAAAAAGAAAAACACAAAAAGACATTGTGTACAGGCAGAGCACGTGAAGTGTGGAGACTTTCCCAGATTCTTCTGTTGCGGAAGGGAAAAGAGAATACAAACCGTACCAACCGCTTTCTTTTTTTCTGACTCACACTCTGAAAAAACTACCGGATCACATGATCTGTCCCCGCCATATCTGCCCGGAATAGCCAAAATATTGCTTCCGCCTTTTGCCTTGTTTTCTCTCTCTCCTTTTCCTTATTGTGAAGGCAACCTCAAGTGACCTTAAGAGAGCTCAACGTGACTAGGCACCAGTTTGCACTGCTGTTGTTGCTGCTGCTGCCGCTGCTACCGCTTCAGTTTCTGGAACACATGATTTCAATTTGCAGTTACTTTGTTGCAACGTTGAGTACAGAGGAGACTTCTTCTGTTCAATCACCAGTACAAGAGCAGTACAACCTTTTCTTTTTCCTCTTTCTCTCTTAACCAGATTTGCTGTTTTTTTCAGCAGCACAAGCCGATGCAATGACCTTGCTATATAGAGACACACACAGTCATTAGTGGCCATGAGGAGGCACATCGTTCGTTTGGCAGCAGCAGCACACTTTGAAAGTTGCTGAAGTTGTGAGTACGGTCATGTGAACGAACGGGCAATGCGGAAAAGAAGTGTCTGGAGTTGTGGTGAGAAGAGGAAGAGATTGACTAGTGAAGAGATAGGGCAGCACGTGACGTCACATGCTTACTTAGTGCCTGCATCTCAACCAGAAAACCAGCACTCCATTTTTTCTCTGCACTAAACAATGTAACTTGGCATTGCAATATAAATGTATGTGAAATTTTAATGCCTTGCATTTGTTTAGTTTGCATTTAGTTTGCATAATTTTACCCCCAGTTAATGGTGCAGGTAAAATGCAAAAAATTAAGTTTTATGTAAAGTAAACGGTTGCCATTTATTAAAACTTGATAATTACACAAGTAAATTATCTTCAACAAAATAAAAAACACTTGAAGATGCTGGCGACACCTGATGTTTGCAAAACAACCCACCACTGGCGCAGGCAATAGCCAAACGGAGACAACTGCAGTCGTAGTAGTCGCCTGACGACCGCGTGCTGTGTTGTTATACTGCTGATTTTGCACAACGACGACATGTTTTTGTCACTTTCTAAACATAAATCTGTAACATTACGAATCTCTTGAAGCTTTGGTAGCTACAACTACCACCGTTGTCCCTACACATGATCTCCACTTACTGAACAGCCTTGTTTCTTAGTTTCAACAGCAATAACTGCCTAGAGTAGACTTTAAAACATTCAAAACAATGGGCAAACAGACGTACTACGAAGTGCTAGGCGTGCAACCTGACGCCACAACGGAAGAAATCAAAAAGCAGTATCGCGTTCTTGCTCTGAAATGTCATCCTGATAAGAACCTGGACAACACCGAAAAAGCCGCTGAAACGTTTACTCTTCTCCAAGAGGCGTACAGTGTTCTGTCTGATCCCAAAGAACGAGCTTGGTAAGCTGTTTAGTTAGTGGTTTAGTGTTAACTGTTTGTCTAAAACTCCCTCAACTTTTACTTTAACTTCTAGGTACGATCGCCACAAGGAGACGTTTCACACCGACACGGTGGACGTTGTCGACCACTCCATTGATGAGTCCTTCCTAACTTCAGACTGCTACACCGGCTTCGACGACTCGCCCACTGGTTTCTACACTGTGTATCGAAATCTGTTTGATGAAATTCTCGACGTTGAGGAGCCTCACAAAGCGTCGTTTGCGGAATTGGCAAAAAGCAAAAACGACGACGATGACAAGTATCCTCGGTTCGGCAACTCTACCACCGATGTTGCCGAAGTGAAGGCTTTTTACGATCGATGGCTCGCATTCTCTACCGCCATCAGTTTTGCGCATCTGAATAAGTACGACATTCGAGAGGCGCCCAATCGACGCGTGGTCAGGCTCATGGAGAAGGAAAACAAAAAGATACGAGATGAAGCCAAAAAGAATCGCAACAGTTTGGTTCAGGTAAGCAGTTAACCTAATAGTTTTGCAAAAGTTAACATGTTTTTTCTGTTTTCCTCTGTAGGAACTGGTTCAATTTGTGCGGAAAAAAGATAAACGAATGGACGCATATAGAAAAATGCTTGAAGCAAAAGTTGAGGAAAACCGAAAAAAATCTGCTGATCATCGACTAAAGGTTATTGAAGAGGGAAATAAAGCTTTTGCAACCTACGTGGAATCGGAGTGGATCTCTCTTCAAGGCCTGGAGGATAATCTAAAAAAGATTGAAGAAAATGCAGCCGAGTACTATGATAATGCTCCAAAAAGTGGCAAAAAAGGCAAAGGCGGTAAAAAGAGAAAGAAAAACAAAAAACTTTTGGCAGACGAAGATGAAGAAGAGGAGATTGCTGAAGATGAAGAAACTTCCAATTTAAACTCTGCTCAAGAAAGTGATAAAACGGTTTTTGAAAACCAGAACTCCAATGTCGATAATGAAAACTTAAGTGATGAAGAGGAGGAAGAAATAGGCTTTTATTGTCGTTTGTGTAACAAAAAGTTTAAAACTATTAATGCCTTTCAGAATCATGAAAAATCAAAGAAACATCTTGTTCGCCTAGAAGTATTTAACGCTTTATCTGAAGATGAAGATGATGAAAACGAATAAAATTACTGATTATTAGGCAACTTTTGTACACTTTTATTAGGTTTTCAATTATAAACAAAAAATAATTTATTTGTTATTTTATATCTTACAATTGCTGGTGCATTAAAAAAACGTCACAATATTTGATAAACTGCGTACAATAATGTGATAAAATTGAATACGGCATAAATACAAAACATAGTGTGTATATTTTTCAAATAACTGTAAAATGTAAGATGTGGAAATGTAAAAACATCACCTAGCACTAATGAAGAAAAAGCACCCAAATGAGAGGCATGAAAAACAAGTGACTGATGACGGTTTTCAGAAATGAAGGGCTGATTCCGAAAACCGAACTAGTCAGGCAGTTGTGTTCCTCCTCTGGATCGAGGTCACCCGCGCCGCAGTGAACCTTGGATGTACTTTGCAGTTTTTCTTTTGCACAGTGCTTAAAGTCGGTCTCTTCTGCCTCGTGTATCTCCACCTCTTCGCCGTCCTTATCAATACTTTGGCAGACGTAGTGTCGCAGCAGAAAGTAGGCATCCTCGGGCGCCTTGCTACTGTACAGCAGCTTCTGGTCGGACAGCCACCGCATTCCACAGTCACATCGAAGGGGATTCCTCTTCAGCGAGAGGACGCTGCCGCGCAGCGCCAGACTGCCGAAGACCGCCTCTGGAACGGTGGTCAGCTTGTTGATGTCCAGATTTAGGTAGGTGGGTCGACGAAGACGGGCGAAAATGCCCGCCGGAAGGGAGGTGTCGTTGAGGGCATTGCTGTTCAGCAGAATGCGGATCTGCTTCTTTGGGTGCAGCCGATTAGCGGGCAGGTTAAAGGCGTCCACTGAAAGGCGGGAAATTTGGTTTCCATCGAGGTTGAGCAGCTCAAGGCCACTGAGGACAGTGAAGGGACGGGCGCCAATGGAGCTGATGCGGTTATCTGTCATCATGATTTCCCGCAGAGCCGGCTGAGGGCGACTGAAGGCGCCATCAGGCACTTGTCGAATGTCACATTCAGTTATGTGCAACACCTGAAGGTTGGTGAAACTGTTTGCTAGACGGAAAAGCTCCTGAACGTCTCCCGTCTCTGAGCCCAGAACGGGATTGTCCTCAAAAATCAGCTCAGTGGTGATGTTTGCCGAAGCAGAGAAAGCGTTTTCATCGATTCTTTTAAGCTTTTTATTTCGTAAAATGTTAATCTTCTTAAAACTCACTCCGCTAAACAGATCGGCGTTGCCGTTACCTTTACGGCCAGAGCCAAGTTCTGTCAGTGCCGAGTTGACTAGTTTAAACTGGTCAAAAGTGACCGAAGATTGAGAATTTGAGGAAGGACTTTTGAGCAAACTATCGCTCAGTGAGCGGAAAATTGAGGCAATATTAACATCGGCGGGTAAGTTATCGCAACTGATGAGGGAAAAACGGGAAATGCATTTACAAGGACTAATCTTCTGATCGGGTGGACAGGTGATGGCACTGCTTGATGAAATTAAAACCGTTATCCAAATGAACAAAATGACCAGGAAAGGTTGAAAACAATGATAAAATTTTCGGTTTGCAGCCATGTTGGTGGTTTTTGAAAATTGAAACGTTGATAGAAAAGATGCAAAAATGAGTAGTTATCTTCTGTACAACACTTTCGTTGTACCAATTAGCACAACTCTGCGATTGCTATTGCAATTCAGCTGCAGAAATCGAGTAATGCCTCTTACTCATCCTTTTCAGTGATTCGTAATTCAGTAATAGTGGGGATGGTGCGACGGGCAATACTGGTTTCCACTGCCAAAAAGGTAGGTAGAAAGAACAAAAAGGAGAAGAAGAAGAAGAAGCAAAAACAGAACAAGATGTGATGCACTTCCTTTGCAAATGTACAGCAGAGTTGTTACGCAATGAGATCACAGTGTTGAAATGTGTAGCTTGTTTCGGGGTTGTGGATGATGACGGTGATGAGTCAGAGTGGCTGGTGGCAACTGGCGGCAAACGTGTTGGTGGTGGTGTACTTTGGCATTGAATCAGTGCATATCGCCATTCATTAATCAGTGCGCCTCTGAGGCTGCCGCAGAAACTGTCACTTTTCACGCTGCGCAGAACATGGCCAAGAAGAAGAAGAAGAAGAAGAGGAAGAACAGAACAGAACAGCAGCAGTCGTCGGCGGCGACGGTTTTGTCTCACATTTGTTTGCTTCTGCAGGGAGGCAACTTACTGTTCGCTTCCGAAAGCAGTANAGAAGAAGAAGAGGAAGAACAGAACAGAACAGCAGCAGTCGTCGGCGGCGACGGTTTTGTCTCACATTTGTTTGCTTCTGCAGGGAGGCAACTTACTGTTCGCTTCCGAAAGCAGTAACTTTAGCCGTAGAGTGCAGAGAAATGGTGGTCACAGAGAAAAAGAAAAAGAAAAAGAAAGATGAAAGCAGCCGTGTTGCCTACTAGCTGTAAGCCAGTAGTCAGTAGTCAGTCAGTCAACCAACAGTCAACAGTCGCCAAAGTTGGCTGTGGCCACCAGAGCTTTTGGGCATCGCACAGACGCAAACAAGCACATAGGCACGTACTTCACTGTGACTTCCTACTGGGCAACAACAGCGGCAGCGGCAACAGTTAATTTGTTGTTACTGCTGCTGCTGCTGCTGCTCGATCGCCCCCTCGCTTTTTCATTCAAATTTTTGCCACTCTTTTCTCCCGCTGTTCAATTTTAACTTGCACACACACACACACACACTTCACTTACTACCTCCCTCTACACCCACACAATGTTTTTGGCGTGTGAGCACTAAGAAAAAGAAGAAGAAGAAAAAGAAGAAGGAGACACACACTTGCACAAACACATCTGCGTTTCTCTCCCAGTCGACATGAACAGGCCGCTTTAGAGGCAGTAATTTCCATATAAAGCTCAAATCGTTCACCGCCTAGCCCTTCTTTTGCTAGCTTTTTTTCTTTTTTTTTCTTTTCGACTGCCAAAGAAGTTTTCAATTTTGCAGTAAGTGTTTCAGTTTAGCTACTCTCTCCCTTAAATGAAACCATCAAAACGGTTACTAAAAATTGTTTGTTTGTCTGTCAAAAGAAGGAAAAGAGGCTGGAAAAGAGAAGGAAGACGAAGAAGATGAAAATGTTGTTGACACAAAGAGGAAGTTTAAGCTTAATTGCTCAAAAACAAAAATCAGCTTTTGTTTGGCGTTTTATTTAATTAGTTTATTTTCACAAAGATAGTGTGCATAGATGCGTGTAGAAGTGCCTGCGAGGATACAAGTCAGTAAAAATGTGAAAGAACATGTGTGTGTGTGTGGTTTGTTTGTGTGGGCGTAGTGTGGTCTAGCAGATTTAGAAAAAGTGTTATTTGAGAATTGATAAAGAGATGTCGGGTGAAAGAATAGGGATTGAGGGGCTAATTTAAGGCTGGTGCTGATTGAAATGGCCAGTGACAGTGATGTGGTGGCAAGGGCTGCTGTCAAAGTGCTATGCTGACAAGTCGTTGACATTCGCCAACTGTTGGAGAGGTTTCTCAGTGTTTGACAGCACACTTCACAGCTTCATCCTCATCGTCTTGGCAACTACCACCACCACCACCTCACCACCAGCAGCACTTTACCTCACAGCCCATTTAGACGAGCGGGTAGCTGGCCGCCGTGG